ATTATTTTATTTTTAATTTTTTTTTTTATAAACTATTTTGATGCCGAATTTTGTACATCCAATCCTCTATTAAACTTTCACTAGCGAAAAATATAAAAAAAATATTTCCAATAAAATAAAATGACCAAAATACCCCTGAAAATTTAAAGGGGTATTTTGGTCATTATATTTTATCGAAAATTTATTTTAAATATTTTTTATAGGTGCGCCCCATTGAGAAGATGGCATCTACCAAATTTCATATTCATACAATTTATATAAAAATAAAAATAAAAATAAAATACTTTGAGACGTCGGATCTAAGATCAAACAGTGAGTAGCTCTCTTGATCAAAATTGGACAGTTGGATGGTAGGGGAAGCATAGATCTTCTATGTTGTAGGCAAAGTATAGAAACCTTTCCCTTTTCATATTATCCTAAGAGATTGTGTACTATGAGACTATTTACCATTGTTACAAGGATGTCACAATCACTATATTACAACTACCTGTAGACCTCAGAGTTCTAAATCATACATCTGCCATTGAATGATTTGAATCAGACAGATTATAATTTGAATGGTAGTAGTTCAAGTATGAGAGCGTATGGTATATGAAGCCTTTTAACATAATAACCATCAGAAGGCTGATGTCCACCACCCATCAATCCTGATTAAAGTGTGACTAAAGTTAAGGTAACCTTATTACAGCTTAACCAAGGTGATCATTCCTTTTAGAGTGTTTGATGGACATTGGAGATCTCCATCTGCCTTCTTGTTGTTTTATATGAACTCATGGTTTTATGTGAGAAAGTTTCTCATACAATACTTTCCCTTCACATATTCCAAAATGTCTCAGTCACATGCAAGAGCATCAGCTAGGGCAGTTTGTCTTCCACATGTTAACAAGTTACGAGAAAAACAATAGTGTCAAAATCATAATTCATAATGGACCCCCAATGTACTGCAAATTGAAATTTTCCAATCACTATTTTCTAATGTATTCCATATGCTTCAGCATCATATTCAGCTTATTCACATGAGGCTGGTAACTTCTTCAGAGTTCAGACTATGATGCTTGTGCTTTCTGGTCTTAACCCATGGGTGATTTGGGTGGTGAATCTCCATGTTACTCTTTTCATGCATCGAGTTCAGATGCGTCTAAAAGTAACTCGCAGGGTCCAAGAGCTCCATGCCAAAGTTCAGGATGATAATTGCACTATCAAGCCTCAACATCCATTTTATTTTACCTTGCAATGGAGAGGATATCATACATTTAGTTTAGAAGAACTCAAGTCAATGACTAGGTCATATCTTCAAAATTTGCTAAAAAAATTCGTTCTCTATTTTCTTAGTTTGTTCTAATTGGAAGAAGAAAGCTCTGAAGCTGTGTACATGTGTGTCGTGTGTGTGTGTAAGGAGAGAGAGAGGTATAACCATGAATATATCTTCAAGAGTCGCACGTGGTCACCTCTTCCAGGCGTCGGTTTGCAGCTCACGAACATAGCCACTTATGCTTTTGACTGCATGGATGGGTGCCATATTCCACCCCCTGCACACCAACCAGTTGCTGAAGCACTGGTCCAGTGTGCAAGAGATGGAATAAACCACAAACCCATGTTCTGGAGATAGCCAGATGCTCGGATCCTGGCTCAATTTTCACTTTCTCATAGAAGTGGTTCTCTCAGGATGTGTACACTGCGCCTTGATCTCTCGTGCTAATGTCTATATGCTTTATCCTCCGTTCTTACCATTTACAGTAACTTAAATGGTTCTGGACTATCCAAGCTTACCATTTGTGTCTCACCTTATACATAATAAGGGTATTTATAGAATTTCATCATGGTAGAGGCCTTCACCAGACAATTGGGCTCTTTTTTCTCAAAGCACTTTAGTGGTGCAACTGCTCGTTTTCAAATGGAAGCATTAAAATAGTTTTAAGGTAATGTCTAGAGATCCAGCCTGAGCATATTGTTCTTTTATTTTTTTGATTGAATGTGATGAATCCATGAGCAGTGAAGTGGAAGAAAAAGAAAAATGCTCGCTGATGTGTACATCACCAACGAGTGCGATGAGACGCCAACGTATAATTTGTTGTTGGCATCAGTGCCAAACTCTCCTTCGAATCTCGAAAGTGTGCGTGCAGGTTGATTTGAGCTAAATTCATTTTATTCATACTTCTTTTCAGAGATGCTTTTCCTTGCTAGAAAGGAAACTTTATTGTTGCTGTGAAGCTTTTGGGTTGTTTTTCTTTTACCTTTTATCCTACTTTCGATCACATGGTCCTCAGCCTTTATCTTTATTAAAAAGTTAAAGCTGGTTCTTGCTCAGTCTATTGTCCTTCATATATTCTTGGTTCTTGCTTTGCCTATTGTGTCAATGCCAATGTTGGGATATCTCATGAAGCAACCCTCCCCACTCAGAAGTCAAAATTGTTTTTTTCTTTTTTTTTGGGTGTTTTTTTTTATTTTTGGGTAATTCAGTGCCCCTACCTGTTTTTTAAAGTCAAAATTGTTTTTTTCTTTTTTTGGGTAATTCAATGCCCCTACCCATGTTTAAAATGATTAGATTTTCGAAGCTATTAATTGGAATCGAGAACACGATGTGTGAATAAGATATTAAGAGTGCTACCACCACGACCGCAGCTCCTTTTCCAAGTCAAAATTGTTCGAGTGGGAGGAATCTAAGAGGAGAAAGTGGAGGTGGACCTCTCTGATGATGCTTTAATAAGTGGTGCATAGGTTATGCCCTATAGACATGCCTATTAATGGGTAATACTGACATAAGAATATGTTAATCATGCATACATCTGGACCGTCCATCAAGGTCCAAACCTAGATTGCATATAAATATGAGTTTACTTGGGAGAATTCAGGGCATAATAAAGGTTTTGCCCACCTTTTTCTTGTGAAAATCCCTGGCATGATGACAAATGCTGTTTCCATTGATTTTTAGTGGAAGTGACTTGTAGAAAGAACGGATATGACAAAATCATCGCCGAAGCTTCTCGTATGATACCCAAGATTTTCCATTATGAGTTTGAACTTTCCTCCCCTCAGTGTTTGTCTTTTATGAGTGTTGTCATTTTATTATCATGCTTTTATTGAGTGCTTTTGTTAGTGTCATCATTTTATTATCATTTTTTCTTGATCTTCCTTTGGATCCCCATCTAATATCCCGAAGTAGGTCTCTCTCTTGGATACGACAAGTTCTTTCACTTCACTTCGGCCGAAGCCTTCGGGTTTTAGGTCTAGACCAAAGCAAAGCTTGGTGTTGCCTCTTTCGTAAGACTTGAGGCTGATTCGGCTGAAGCTTTGGCCTCTTCAGCCTAAGCAAAGAAATATTTATATAAAAATATTTTTTTTTGTTATTTTTGAATTTTTTATTTTTTATTTTTTATTTTTTTTATATATTTATATATAAATATCTAATTTATTTATATTAATTTAAACAACAAAAACCCGAAGTCTTCATCCGAATCGGCCAAAGCACCGAATTATTTCATTTTTCTTACCAAACCTGGAAAAGACTCTGAATCTGACAACATTGATTCTTTCCATGCACCTTATTTTTTGATTCATATTGAACCAGTCTGTTCCAAAGGCGGCATATAATCTTAAAACATGAAACTGATTGCTGTTGTTGTGAATTTTCTGATTGGGTGATCTAGATTGAAAGGGCATCTGAAGACTGTCTTGGACTGTCCATTCAGCCTAGTAACACTTTTTATGCGGTTTACATTAATGAAAATACAGATTGATGGGTGGGATTCTTGAACTTAAAGATACCATTCCTTGGGTTCTCATAAGTTCAAAAGCCGAGCCGGTCAACTCAAGATCTGCCTAAGTTGACTGAAGCAGGTTCCTTCCTGGATCAGGTTTTCTGGGATAAAAGGTGGCCTTCATGGGTTCGGCCAAACCCAATCGACCTGTACATGATCTGGACTCCTTTAACTTGGCTTGGTTAAATAAAGATCATTATGAGCTTCATCCCAAGCCCTTTCCTTTTTGACATGGTACCACACGGTAGGTAGGAATGAAAATCACGATGTCACATTGTCGTGCTGCCACCCTGACCATCCTGGCCTCGGGCCCATTCCTAGTTTCATCCTACGTCTTTACATCACTAGAAATGAATGGAAAATTAAATCAATTAACAGCCACATAAAGTTATTGCTTAGCTTTTTCTCTTTTCCTTTACTTTCCTGTGCTGCTTTTAATTAAGTCAACTTATTTCTCTTTATATTTCCTAAGCTTATTTTCCCTTCTGGATTTATAAGTTACGTTTATATTTCCAAATATTGCGTGCATTAGCATACCTCTCTGAACACTTTTAACAATCTGCTTGACCTACTCTGTTGACCCTGCAAATAAGAAGGTGAACCTGATCTGGTTACCAGTCGAGTCCCCTTGTGGGTTTGCTAACTACAATCTAGTACCTTGGAGCTCGTTGTATCTCCCCTCAATTTGGAGTTTTGATCACAGTCCTGGGAAGGCCCCTAAATGGACCCAAATAGCTTCATGGATATTAAATAAGTTCCTGTTGTGTCAACTGCTGCAACTCCAGATGCATGTCTGCAACTTTGGTTGTAAATTGATCAATCCTTTGAATATTCAGTTTAGGGATATTTACATAAATATGTCGTATATGTTTTGAAATCTAAGAAATAACTGTTGTTTTTCATTTTTTTCATTCATGTCCCATTTTTTAAGAGCACATCTAGTATTTTAATTTTATCTTTTTTATATATCTATCAAATTGCACTCAAATTTTGGGTGTCCATGCTTCTCACCATATTGCACCTGTAAAATATATAAAAATAATAATATTAAATAAAAATAACCAAAAAGACCATAATACCCCTAAAATTTTGATAATTTTGCTTTTATTTAATTATTTTTATATTTACAGATATGTGATTGCGAGAAGTATTAACTGAACACAAAATTTGAGCTCAATCAATGAGGAAAAAAAAGATAAAATTGAAATACAGGATGTACACTTAAAAATTGGGACATGAATGTAAAATACAAAATATTGGGGACATTTTTAAAATTTCAAGAGTATAGTGGATATTTAAACAAATTTCCCTCTAGTTTATTTTCATATTCATTCTGTTAATCTCCTCTTCAACTAATAACAATCTAGTCTTTGGAAAAGAAACAAATAATCACCATATTTTGTCTCTAACAAAGAAATTAGGCTTAAGCAGCACCAGTCCTTTGAATCCCATGTGGTAAACAATGGCCTTAATCCAATTTTATAGCTCACATAGGTTGCTGATTTTCTGCAGGACAAAAAATTTGTATCATAATCAATCTCTAACTGTTGTGCTTAACAATAAATTTCCTGTTCCATTTCTTGTACTAAATAGTGCTTCAAAAGAACTGAATAAATCCATTTAGTTGACAATCATGCAAAGATGGCGAAAAGACTTGTAACTTGAGTGCCGATGCTTACTTTTCCAGTTAGTGTATCCTAAGGTCAATTTGAAGAAAAAGAGCATATCCTTTGGTTGCATAGTTCTTTTTATTTTGAAACAATTCAAAAGAATATCATATATAAAAATACAAGATGCAAATATTATGAAAAACACATAATGGATCATGTCATATCAAGAGTGATCTGACCCCCTTGTTTGAATGGCTTAATCTTTCATTAAGGGTCAAATTTTTCAGATATTTCAGTGAGTTCAAACAGCAGAACTGCATTGAATAGGGACACACACACACATATGGGTCTATGCATTAGAGCATATAAGTGTTTATGCATGTACATGTGTAGTATGTGCACATGCGTCCGCATATATGTGTGTATATGTCAATATATGCTCCAGTGGCCAAAAATACCAAGACATATCATCTGTAACATTGTTAAATGAATATGGCATGCCATTATCATAGCAAGCATCTATTACAATATATGGAAGTTAACCCGATGGCACTAATTAATCAAACCCCACTCTCCTACACATCTTTAATCACCATCCTATAGCAGAATAATCTCAGATTCTAGGAAAATAACGACACAAACTCACTTTCCCTCTCTGTTGTCGGCCAGTTCGTCAGCTTGGCTTGAAGAATTTGAGCTTCAATCCACTATTCACCATGCTCCAGACACCCCCAGCTGAGAGAGCCATGCTAAAAGCAATCCCCAATATTCCAAGGGTCCAGTTGAGATACCAGCTAAAACTGAATCTTGTTGGCCTCTTAATGAGAACCCACATAAAGCAAGGATAGGCAAATGTAACTGGTAGAGTGAGCCCTCCTAAGAGCCCAGCTAGGCTCGAGAGGAAAGGAAGGGCTATGCCAATAAAGAAAGAGATGAAGCCATAGAAAATTCGGAAACCAGAACGAACCCATATTGAGCATGGTCTATTTGTGCGACTTGTGTAACCGGCCTCGAAGCTGTCAAAAACTGGCATTGAGTATATCTGGAAGCTGCTCAGGCAATTGAATACCACTAAGAGGAATGTCACTGCAAGGAGGCCCCTGGGGATGTCATGGCTGTGGAACCCATACAAGGCGTTCAGCATCCCCCCTGCAGGCATCTGGAACAGGAGAGAGAATTTAAAGGGTGATAATATGATAAAAGAGATATCTCTCTCTCTCTCACACACACACACACACACACACAAACACACAGTTGGAATTATTTAGAGCAATTTGCCTTGCCCTTACAATAGGGTCTTCATTATTCAGAAGATAAGATATACAAAGGCGCTTGTGCTTCTTATGACAGTAAAACGTGCATATATGCACATTGGCACTTGAGCAAGTAGATAGATAGAAAGATAGGGGTGCAGATCAATGTGGAATTTTAAAAAATAAATAATACAGAGAGTTACAAGTGCAAGTATGGACTTTAAGTTTTCAATGACCACCATGCTAACATTTGCAGTGATTCGTAGTTCCAAAGATAGATAACATTAATATATCTTTGTGTCCACTGAGCATGCTATGAGGATCTTATTCTTTTCTTTCTTAAGTCATGCCATCATGTTTCCTTTGTAAATGCTTTTGTCTTCATTATAATTTGCAAAGAATTTTTATTTATCTGCATTTATTTTTCTATGTTCACAAAATATTGCAGGATGCATATCAATTTCTTGGAAGCAAGTTTGACACAGACTGTATATAATTGGAACTTACCGAGTTTCCATATGCCCAAAAGCCCCCAATTGCTATGGGAAACAAGCACATGGCAATCAACAAATATGCAACTTTAGCACCTTTCCACATTGGTGTATGAGCTGGGTGCTTGAGGGTTGAGGGCATTGTTGCCTGCCAAACTCATTTCATGAGAACTCCCATTTACAACATTAACTGAAGGAAGAACAAACAAGGGTAAAAGAAGATCAAGAATAATGTTCATGAACATCAGGGCATGCAATTGATCACACAAGCCCCATTCCTAAGATTGTGTGACACACTCTCTCTCTCTCTCT